ATCTATTTATTTATAGGAAAAAATGAGTCAAGACAGAAATTAAAGACTTTCTAGAATCAAATGAAAATGAATACACAACATAACTAAACTTATGGAACACAATGAAGGCAGTTCTAAGAGGCAAGTTCCTAGCATTAAGTGCATACATTAAAAAAAATAGGAGAGGTCTCATACTAGTAACAACTGCACACCAGGAACCTCTAGAACAACAAACAAACATCTAGTCCTAAAGGAGTAGATGGCAAGAAATCATCAAACTCCAGGATGAAATCAATAAAATAGAAACAAACAAATAAAAATATAAAGATTCAATGAAACAAGAGTTAGTGCTTTGAGAGAATCAGTAAGATTATCTGTAAATTGATAAATGTAATTCATCGTGTAAACAAAATGATGAAGAAAGGACCTTTGACAAATTCCAACACCTCTTTATGATAAAAGTCCAGGAGAGATTAGGGATACAAAGGACCTAACCTGACATAACAAAAGCAGTTTACAACAAGCCCATAGTTAACATCAACTTAAATAGAAAGAAACTCAAAGCAATTTCACTAAATCAGGAATGAGACAAGGTTGTCCACTCTGTCCATATCTATTCAATACAGTACTTGAAATCTTAGCTAGAGCCAAGACAACTGAAAGAGATCAGGGGAATACAAATTGGAAAGGAAGAAGTCAAAATATCTTTATTTTTAAATGATATGATCATATACTTAAATGACTCTAAAATTTTCCAGAGAATTCCACGTTGATACTTTCAGCAAAGTAGCTGGATACAAAATTAACTCAAAAAAGTCAGTACAATGACATCTATACAAATGACAAATGGACTGAGAAAGAAATCACAATAGCTTCAAATAATATCAAAGATCATAGAGTAACAGTAATCAAGCAAGTGAAAGGCTTGTATGATAATAGCTTTAAGTCTTTGGAGAAAGAAATTGAAACAGATATCAGAAATGGAAAGATCTCCCATGCTCATGAATTGGTAGGATTAACATAACAAAAATGGCCATCCTACCAAAAGCAGTCTGCACAGTCAGTACAATCCAATCCCCACTAAAACTGCAAGACAATTCTTCACAGACCTTGAAAGGTCAATCTTTAACTTCATATGGAAATACACACATCCCCACACACACACACAAAAAAAAGAAAACCAGGACAGCTAAAACAATCCTGAATAATCAAAGAACCCCTGGAGGTATCATCACCCCTGACTTCAAACTGTACAACAGAGCTATAGTAACAAAGACAGCAGGATACTGGCACAAAAATCGACACATTGATTGATAAAATTAAATTGAAGATCCAGACATAAATCCACACACCAATGGATACTTTATTTTTTTTTATAAAGAAGTCATAAATACACACTGGAAAAAAGGCAGAATCTTCAACAAGTGGTACTGGTCAAACAGGATAGCTGCATATAAAAGAATGCAAATAGATCCATACTTATCACTCTGCACAAAACTCAACTCCAAATGGAGCAAGGACCTCGACTCTCAACCAGACACACTGAACCTGAGAGAAGAGAAAGTGGGAGGTAGCCTTGAATGTGTTGCACAGGAAAAGACTTTCTGAACAGAACACTATTAGCACAGGCAATAAGAGCAACAATTAATAAATGGGTCCAGACCTTATGAAACTGAGAAGCTTCTGCATGGTAAAGGACACCATCATTTGGACAAATTAGCAACCTAAAGGAAAGGGAAAGTTTTTTTGTTTTTTGTTTTTTGTTTTTTGTTTTTTTTTTACCAATTCCACATTCAAAAGAGGACTAATATCCTAAACATATAAGGAACTCAAAACTGGATATCAAGAAAACAAATGACCAATTTTTTAAAAAAAAAATGGGGTACAGATCTAAATAGAGAATTCTCAAAAGAGAAAACTCAAATGACTGAGAAATACTTAAAGAAATGTGCAACATCCTTAGTCATCAGGGAACTATAAATAAAAGCAGCCAAGATCAATAAAAACTAAGATCATGCTAGTAAGGATAGAGTAAGGAGAACACTCATCCATTACTGGTGGGAGTGAAAACTTGTACAGCCACTATAGAAATCAGTGGGCAGTTACTCAGGAAGATGGAGATCAATCTTGTATTTTTGTTATTATTTTATCTTTTTTACATATTTTCCTCTGTTTTACCCTACAGGTCCTTTGGATACACATTATGACTCCAGTTTGGTGTTTTTATGGGATCCTGAGTGTGTGAACAAGCGAGTCTCTGCATCCACATCTGTTTCTTGTGTTCTTTTCTTATTGTTTATTTTGTCTTATTCCAAGGTAATAGTTTTTATTTTATTATTATCCCTTCCAGCATGTTGGTTTTCTAATGAGAGACCTAAAATAGGTGGATCCAGATAGTTGGTAAAGTGGAGAGGAACTGGGAGGAGCAGAGGGAGGGGAAACCATAATCAGGATATATTATGTGAGGAAAAAAAATGTATTTTCAATAAAATGGGGGAAATGATAAAAATTAAGGAGATGAATTTGTTAATTACCCTACCTCTTTCATTAATCAATGTGTTCATGAAATAAAACTTTATTTCTTAATTCATAAAAAAGAAATGCTGTGAAATTACATAGTATAAGGCAAAGGAAATATACATAAAACATGTATGTGATAAGGCAAAATAATAAAATGTCTAGTACTTAAAACAAAAAAAGTAAAATCAGATCACCATACGATAGTATTATTTAATATGCAAAGAATGTTGCTATGTATGAATTGAAGTGTGGTTTTAAGCCTTAAAAATTAAATTTAAAAATAAAATCTGCTCCTTAAATCACTACTTTTAAGAATGGAGATCTGAAAAATGTATTTGCAATCAATCAAGGGAAAAGGATCTTTAATTTTTAAAATTACACACTGCTTTATATTGCCTGCATTTTCTGCCTGGTTCTCCACTCTGGCAGCGTTTGCACCTGTGTGCTGCTCTAAACACAGTTTACTTTCGTTTCAAGAAATTCTTCTACATTTTGTTCCTCAGATCACTACGTGGTTTTCTCAAGAAGCAATCATTACTGGAACTCATAGGTTAACTGTTACCACATTTTTTTTAACCTCAAAGCTTCTTCACATTCTTAATGCTAATAAATTCATTACATGTGTACAAAAATAAGATGAACACAAAGGGTGTGTGTGTGTGTGTGTATGTGTGTGTGTGTGTGTGTGTGTGTGTGTGGTGTGTGATTTCTTTTAGTCAATATTTACAAATCTTCATGACTGGTTTGACAGATGGCAGCTTGGCCACCATATCTACATGGGTTGTTTCAGTTGAAATGTATTAAGAAAACCCAATTTCATACAGACATATCAATAGAGAAGTGAAGAATAGTTTCATAAATTTTTCAGATATTTGTGGATGTTCTTTAACGCCGTACCCCTACTTAATATGTGGCAGTTTCTTTTTAATAAGGATAAGTGCAAATAGAATCTGAATACATTAGCAATGAACTCTTCGTATTCCGCTGTTCTAAGCTCTTCTAGACTATTGGCATACTCTATTTTATATTATGATAACAGGTTATATCAGACTTGGTTCTTTACAAACAAGACTTGGTTCATGGTTCTAGAAGTTAGGAGGCAGGAGTATCAAGTGACAGATTTTGCTTTTATTCTTTTACAATATAATCCCTTCCCTGAGATCAGGCTGTAGTTTGGTTGGTGGAGTACTTGCCAAGCATGCACAAGATCCTGGGACCAATCCCCAGCACTGTATACAGTAAATCTGATAGTGCACGCTTATAAAGCCAGCACTCAAGAGAGAGGCAAGAGGATCAAGAGTTGCAAGGTCATCTCTGCTCTGAGCTATGTGACACCCTGTCTCAAACAAACAAACAAAAACCATGCTACTCTGAGTTTATCTAACCACTCCCACACTATGACCTTAATTCATTCATGAAGGCTCTGCCTCTCGTTATAATCTTAATAATTTCTTATAAAGACCTACATCAAAACTGTTACACTTGGACTTTGTTGCCCATACATGGGCTTCGGAGCACACACTTAAACTACTGTAACTGTATTACATTCCGGGCACACATGAACCCATGATTCTGTCACATCGAGTGCCAATCATTTGGAAATTCAGTCATTTGACTCTTTCAAATGTTGGTACATTTCATTGTATAAGATCCTGCCGTTCTTACAAGATATGTTCGTTACAAATCTCATCACAAAGGCTCTGGAGTTTAGGGATACTGTCAAGACCGCAGTAGAAGATTCCGCTTCTTAAACATCTCATTCTCACATGGAAACTCAAATTTTTATCCATTGGCAACAAATCCTGTCCATTATTTTCCTTCAATACCAATTTCATTTCATTCATTTTCAGGAAAAATATCTGCCATCTAGCCAGGTGACTGTTCACCTGTTACATATCATTCAAATAAAACAGTGTTTCTGAAAAATCGGCCAGCTAATCCCAACACTCAGCAATGGCTCACCACCCTGCTGAGCCTACCTTGGTGTCCACACATGCTGGCTACATCAGTGCTATTTCACAAGTATGCCTATTTTGCTCAAATGTCCAGGAAAAAAAAAAAACTGTAACTGAGAATCAAGATCCCCTAAACGGTTTTTCCATGCTTCCTAGACACAGTCTTAAATGATGGTGCCTCTATTTCACAACTGAGTGGATGACAGCGAAGAACACAATGACTCCTAACACAATTTGTGCCACTGCCTTGATTTGTCCTTAACATTGTCAGTTTAATCATCCATGTCTGTGACATCACTATGAGTAAAGCCAACCCCGTAATAAAAGCAAAGAATAGCTTCATGTTACTTATTAAAGTTAGTCTTGACCTCGTGACTGTCCCCTTCTCGGGATGTCAAGTATCCCAAGAGTCACCTCCTTGGCCAACCCAGACAGAACTCTCTCAAGGGCCAGGCTGTTTTTGGTCTTCTCCCTCCCATGGCAGGATAATTAATAAACCCTGCAACTGAAGCTTTTAACCTTATTAGAGAGAATCTCCCCGCTTACCTGAAGATAAGGTTATCTGGTTATAAAGACTAGGTAGAATAGGTAGTACTAGAAATCAGTCTTGGGATGAAGACAGGCAAGTGTTACGTTACCACCTGAGTCCAGGTCTGTGATTCAGGAAGGCCGGCATTCCCTGCCTCCTTTCCATTCTCGTTATCAGCAAGAGGAAAATGACTCATCTTCCCTCGACCACATGAATGCACGTGTGATGATTAATTGCATTTGTCAGCTGACAGAACTGAGGGAGGCCCAGCAAGCTGGTAAAACATTACCTCTCTGTGTGTCTGTGAGGGCATTTCCAGAAGAGATTAAGATTGCTTACTACAGTGGAGTGCCATAAGTCAGTCTGTTCGAAGTCCAAAGATAACAAGAAGGTAAGGGAAAGGTGAACTCCCTCTCTCTGTTGGAGCTGGACCATCTATCTTCTCTTGCCCTTAGATAGTTGCACTCCTAGTTTCAGGCTTTCAGGTTTGAACTACAATTGCCCCATTTCTTGGGTCATCAGTTTGCAAACTGTGGAATTCCTTAGTCTCCATCATCACATGAGCTAATCCTTCGTAGTAAAACTGTGTATGCATGCATGTCTTTGTGTGTGTGTGCACGCATGCATGCATGTGCACGTGCATGTTTTCTATTAGTCCCAAACACCCTATTTCCAGAACACCCTGACTCATACAGTAGATAATGGTTACTCCACTCGAAAGGAACACATTCAAGGAACCATATTCTTTCTTTATTGAAGGCCTGAGTATCTGTCAGGCTTTAATTGCTGTCATCAAAATACCTGACTTCAATCTTGTGAAGGAGGAGAGCTTCAGTCTGGCTCTCAGTTTGAAAGGGTTCAGTCCAAGATTGCTTGGTCCCATGCACATGGGCAGAACCTCACTGTGGCAGGAGCATTTGGCAGGATTTCTTCACCTCATGACAGACAGGAAGCATGAAGAGACCCCAGGAAGAAGCCAAGAAAAAAGGCAGCTCCAAGGACATACTTTGAGTAGCCAACTTCTTTCTGATAGGCTCCACCTCCTAAAAGATCCTGCTTGTCCCTCAAATTCACCAACATCTATGGACCCAATATTCACACAAAAGCCCATAGGCATTTCATATGCAAATCATAATGCCCAGTCACAAACAACAAGACAATATGACTTCTCTCCTTCTCGGAAGCTACAATTCAGGATCATCTGTCTGTGGATGGTACTGCCCACAGTGGGCAGGGCCCTCCTACACCAATTAACAACAAAGACAACTCCACACAAACACATTCAGTCTGAGCTAGGCAAGTCCTCTGAGTTTTCTTCTCCTCACCAAAGAGTCTAGCTGGGCTATGTCAAGATGATAGTTAAAGCTAGCCAGGACAACCACTCAATGTGAGGGGAAAAAGGGAAGAAAGGAAAATGAAGGCAGGCAGAAAAAAAGAAAGAAAGAAAGAAAGAAAGAAAGAAAGGAAGGAAGGAAGGAAGGAAGGAAAGAAGGAAAAAAAGAAAAGTTAAGCAATATCACCACGTGAGTGAGAAGGTGACTGAGTAATGTTTTCAAAACCCATACCTAGTTTAAAGTGTCAATGTCATATTTTAAATGCATGAGTAACTGAGCCTAAATGCTAATATTCCTTCAGTTGATGTGAGATGACACATCTCCTCCTCTAGAAAAAGGAAGGGAAAAAAAAAAAAACAAGCAAACATGTTCCAGAAGGTCATAAATAATTTTACTTAAGTGAATGTTGAAATTAGGTACCATGTTGTTTGGCTCCTGGTAACCTGTTTGCAGCCAGATAAGTAGAGTGCACAGCAGTCAAAGCTCGGCCTATTCAGCTACAGAAAGCAGAGGAAACAATGCTTTTACAGTGGTGTGTTGGCTCCACCCCCCAGAGTTAAATATACCTAGACAGTTCTCTGTGAAGTAACTGCAGCTGCCTGTGGAAGAAAATGATGTTGATGGCAGCTCATGAGCTGGGGAAGGTGATAATGAACAAGATGTAATCATGTATTTCTGGCACCCACTTTGGATGGTACAAGTTGCTAATTGCATTTAAGTATTAGCTTACAATATGGTGACCGAATCGTGTTGGAAGATAGCCCAAAGTTTCCCTTTTGTAGAAAAGGCACCCTATTTTTTTTTAAAGCGAAGATTCATTAATTTTTCCTCTCTGAAAGTTCAAAACCTTTTTTTGCCAGATCAAGTTAAACTGCACGGATTTTTCCCCGTAAATTTTCCCATCGGGACTGTCAAAGGCTGACAGGGGTATCAGTGACTCCTGGGTTGAACTCCGAAATGATGGATCCTGTTTTCCTTTCGCTCCAGGTAATCCCCGGTTTAGGGTAACTTACACGCCACTTACCGTGATTCTTGCTCAGATTACACGAAGGAAATATTCATCCTGTCAGAATCTGGTGCTTGTCCAGGGATGCATGCCAGCCTACACTGCCACGGGAGGTAAGAGAGAGCACAAGAAGTCTCCAGAACAAAAGAGAGACAGGGGGGAACCAGTTCTCAAGTGGCAGGATAAGAACAGGCCTTGCCTTGCCTGTTAAATCGCAGACAGGTTGATACATATGTTAGCGCTGTTCTGCATACCTTTATGTGGGAGCTAAGCATCCTCATGACAAAGAAAGAGGAGAGCTGACAAAGGAATTAAGGTATTTTCTCCTACGGACATACTTTCTTCCAACGTGTCAGTGTAATTAATAGCGTCTGCTGCCCTGGCGATTTTTCAGTTCTATGCATATGAAGGATGTTGGGGTTAATTGACTTCTTTCTGGAATTTGTGTTTTGGTCAAGCGCTTCTAATTTCTAGTAATATTGTTCTTGACGATGACATTTTCAGCTAAAATAGACTTAACCTCGTAATTAATTACGTATATTGGCATCAAAGAGAAGAACAGGAAAAAAGGCTAGTGTGAGGGTTTACATGCCAGACAATGGGAATGAGAAACTTGTAATTCTTCCAAAAGTAGGCAGCCTGGACACAAATCTCTCTTTTGGAAAAATCAAAAATATCAACATTTGGTTACATCCAGGCCATCAATAGCTGCCTCTTGTTTTAAAACTTGATCATAAATTTGTGCATGGGAAAACCAGAAGAGAAAAGACTATGGATCCATCAATGAAAAGAAGACATGGATCAAAGGGACATTTTTTCAAAACTTTCCAGATTCCCCTGGAAGTGCAGTCTCCCAAAGGGAGACCAGGAGGGACAGGAAATGGGGTGAGTATCCTACAGTCGGCTGGAGGACTCAGACAAAGCGGGGTGACAAGCTACAGGAGGCCTGTTGGGACAGTAATGAAAATATCCGCTACTGACAACAGGAGACCATTGTAAACCCAATTTTAAATCACCACACAGCGTTAAAATCACCACACAGCCATTAAAAACAAGTTATTCTCCCAGTGGCATTCATTACAAAAGTCTGTTGTTAGGTAGTCCTGATAGCAGGCCAAGTATTTTAAAACAATAAATAAATAAAAATTAAAGCAAAAAAAAAAAAACCCAAACTCAGTATTACCAACTAAGAGTCCACAATGAAAGCACACTGTGGGCAAGAAGGATAAACAGGGGGCAGGTGACAGGCAGGCAGAAGTCGCTGGGAGATCACAACAGCAGCCAGAAGACACAGGGTTCTAACTCAACTGGGCTCATGGATCAGCAATACAGTTCATCACCAAAAAGCACGTAAGCCAAGCCTAGTGACCTGAGTGTGATCCCCAAGACCCCTAAGGCAGAGGGAGAGAATAAATTGTCCTCTGACCTCCACACATGCATGTGCTCACACACACTCACTGTTATCATTTATAAACACATGGTGGGGGGGACCCATCCCACAAGGGGTGACAGTAGGTCACTGAGGCCTTGGCAGGTCACCTGGCAGGTGGCCTGAGACAGATAGACATGCCATGCAGAGTTTATTTAGTGGGTTATGGAAGGGAAGGGGGAAGGGGAGAAGAGGGGGAGAAGAGAAAGAGGCAGAGAAAGAGGGAGGGGAGAGGGAGGCAGTAGTTACCTCTTCAAAAGAGGAACAGAAAGAGAGAGAGCAGGCTGGAGAGGAGTTGGAAGATCTGCTTGCCTAGGTGGAAGGGGGAGGTTGGGAGTGGGCAGGGCTTGTCTCTTAAAGGGGCAGGGTACCCAGGTGACAGACCAGGCCAGCAGATTATAACAGTCTCATCTTTTTCTTATAATAAAAAGGCGGGAAGTTAGGCATAACAGGTTGAGGGAATTGGGATGGCAGATTCTCAAGACTGCTTCCTGCTTATTTGTGGGTGTCGCCTTGGGTGGCCCTGAGAAAGCTGGGTGTTGGTCACATCATGGTGTAGCTGGTCGCTTTACTACTGTCCAGGGATTGTGGTGTGAAACTGTCCAGTGTCTCTTAGACCTGGCAAGGTGTTAGCAGAGCAGAGGACAAAGTTAAGCTTAGGAAGAAAATAAATTTCCAGGACCAGAGAATTGAGAAGGGTGTATTTGACCTGTTTAAAGTGGATGCTTCAATTCGGCTCCCTAGAACAGACAAGAATTTTTTGATTTTGTGAAAACATAAGTTTTAGAAATGTACATTGTATAAACAGCAGCATATTTATGTCAGAAGGACTGTGACAGATGTTTTTGCACAATGAAAGTATTTTTAAGACCATGAAAGGCAGCGTGAGAGAGAAATTTGATAACTTTTGTTTTCACACCTTTATAACTTGTAGGTCCACACCTCAATAACTTGCATTTGTATATCTTAAAACAGCCCTTACTTAGAACATGGTAAGAAGTTATACAGAAATTGGTGAGTTTGTCCTTTTAAACTGACAAAACCTCTCAGCTGTCAAGCTGCGTCAGAGATCTTTGAGGAGGATAAAATTTTACTTGAGTTATTGATTTAAAAAATGACAGAGAACTTACTCAATTGTCTACCTAGCACCTCTCCTAAGGGTCCTCCATGGTCGTTGAGGGTCACATTTACCTTTTGCTGTTTAGCACAGGACCTACCAAGTTTTAGAAGATCCTGTGGGTTTAGAAAATCTGTAGGAAGACAAGCTTAACTCGGCCTGAGCAGCTAGGCAAGCCGATTCCATTTGATTCTTTGCCTGTGTCTGGAGATCTTCAGTTTAGATGAAACGCAGTTCTGCCCAGTGGTCAGTGCTTGGCAGTTGATGAAGCGAATTGCAAATGGACATTGTTTTGTG